GAGGCTCAAATGACACAGGGTATATAAAGTACTTTGCAAACTTTAAAAGCAAATGTCAATTTTTAGAAGTTTAAATTATAGTCAGATCTATTCCTCAAATAAGAATGATTCAAATCTGGATTTTCAAACATACACATGTGGTTTGAATAATATTGTAACACAAGACAACTCTAACGTGGAGGAGCCTGGCACTGTCAATTGTACAACTGACAGTACCAGGTTCCTCCACGTTGGAATTGTGGTCACTTCATCCCTCTCCATTTTCTTGGGTGGGCCTCAGTTCCCTCACATATCAAATTGAAGGCTTAAACTAAATGATCTCGTGGGTCCCTTCAACCTCTCAATTCTGTAACCCACTGTAACACACTCACTTAACAGCCCCACCAAAGCAAAACCATTCTTTATGGGAGACAGTTCCTGGGGGTTTACTTGGTGCACCCCTGGTGGTGCATTCTCTGTGTTGAAGACTATTTTAGCATGCTTCTTTCAAACCAGAGCTACAGAAGACCTAGAGGTACAAAGTTTATAAAGTTCAACAAGATAGTACACCAGATGAATCATTCAGTCAACTAGAGATCAAGAGTTGGGTTTTTTGCTCTCAAAATGATATCCACATTATCATGATTTCTAAATTCTGTCCTACCAATGAGACAGCAGCTGCCCTTAAACAAGGTTTTAAAGAAAGCCATGTTTAATTGAGATGGCCTTTCAGCATCTCTACCACACACACGACTTGAAGTTATCCCATCCCTGTCTCTACCCTTCTCAGAAAGCATCTTTACGTAGCCTCCTATGAGCAGGCAACATTTCATAATTGAAATATGTTCTGACCCCTTCCCACCTATCAAAATTAAGTCCCATGTCTGAATCTCACAGGATCCTGCTAGTTGATCAAAGCTATTCTGGAATTGATTCACTAAGTATTATAAATTTGCATTTTCACAAAGGTCTTCAGTACTTTGATCTAATGGTAAATGTGGGAATATCAAACACCATAACTGGGATAGTAAAGTATTGGGAGGGCAGGAGAGCATTTTAGATATATCTGATACATGGCCTAAGAGATTAAAAATCTTTGGCTAAAAATCTCTCCCCCCAAAATTAAACTTTGTCCAAAACATTGTTTTTATAAAACCGTAAAGCATTCTGACACAGCACACCAGGAGCAAAAGACATCTCTTTGGAGTTCAACTCCATTGAACAAATAAGTACTGAAATTTAGTAACACATTGAAAAGTTTTAAAGAGTTGGATAGTTTCTTCTGTTTCTAATAAAGGACTTTCTAATTATTATTCATCTTGACTGCTTATATCATTTGACTTTTAAAAGTTGTTTGGGGAATATATAAAATATCTGTAAGTCAATCTACTAAAACACACACAAGATTTATATAAATACAATTATAAAACACTCTTTACAGAAAAGGAAAACAGGTAATTCGAAGAATATTCATTGCTCATGGATGAACCATATCAACATGATGAAAATTATACTGCCTAAATTAAGTTATAAATGTAGGGCTCTACAACTCACACTACCAAAGGGTTATTTTCCAGAGCTAAAGAAAACAACAAAATTCATTTGGAGGAACAAAGGGTCTAGAATCTCAAGAACAGTAATAATAAAGTAGGAATAAAAGAAGAAGAGCACTTCCAGACCTCAAACTGTATTATCAACTTGTAATTATCAAAACTATTTGGTACTAGTTTAAAAAAAAAACATAAAAAAGTACATCAGTGTACATCAAACAAAAGTACAAACTAGAGAAATGAGTCAGAAACAACCAAACTCAATAGCCCAGTGTTCAACAAACGCAAGAATGAACTTAAGAAAACACTCCTCATTTGATAATCACTACTCAGAAAATGGAAATCTGGCAAAAAAAAAATCATTATTATAGGTTCAAACCAGGATTTTAGGCCATATATTATATTAAGTTATATAATATATAACTTACATATATGTATATAATATATAACTAATATATGTTATATATTATATAAAGATACATGAGCTTTAAAGAAAAAAAGTTACAGCAAAAAAAAAATTCAAGGACAACAGAAGGAAATACCTTTCACAACTATGAACAGGGGAGAGCTCTTAACCAAACAAAAAACAGAGATTACAAAGGATAAAACGGACTATTTTTGGTAACATGAAAAGCTTTCATATACACCAAAAACAATGAAACTAGACTAAGAAGGGATATAATAATTTGAGAAAAAAATCTTTGCACCAAATATTTCTGATAAAGGTCTGATATCCCAGCTATAGAGGGAGTTAAATATAAGACTAAGAGTAATCCCCCAATATATATACCTAAAGGATATGAACAAACAGTTAACAAACATGAAAAATTCTTTCAGATCGCTAATAAGAAAAATGCAAATAAAGCAACTCAGACTTCTCCTCACATTCAACAAACTGACAAAGATAATAAAAGATGGACCTATGTATTAAAGGGAATACAGGAAAACAGGGAGGTAGATACACTGTTGGTGGATCTATGATGGAGTCTGTTTTGGAAAACAATTAGGAATTACACACAAAAAAAAATGACTAAAATAACACATACCCTTTTATCTCAGTGATTCAATTGCTAAGCATACATCCCAAAGAGAGAGGTATGACAAAAAGGTACAAAAAAATTTTATAGCAAAACTTTCTGTTGTGGCAAAGAACCAGAAACCGTGCCCTCTCTTCATCTCAACTCCAAAAAGAGAAAAGAGCAGAAGAAAGGCCAGAAGGAATCACAGACAAGCAGGATAGCTTTGAAAGTTATATGTTACATTTACTGTATACTTAAAAAGAAAATCAAGCTCTACATAGATTTGCAGTTCTCTTCTATTCCACAACATATATGAAAATGCTCATTTTATTTTGTGTCTGTCAATTTCAAAACTTTGAAAAAAAATGAAAATGACTATGGAGGCAGAATGTCACAGACCCTGCCAAATACAATCAATGTGTCTGTTAATTTTACTCAACTATTTTTCTTCTCCTGTGACAAGTTAAGGTTTATTGACTAGGAGAAGGGAGAGATATTTAGACATGACTGATATCAAAATAAATAAAACTTATAAAAACAATAAAAGTAGATTTCTTAAGTATTAAGATGTCTGCACCTTTAGTCTAAGGAGGCAGTATTGTCACTTATCATCTTAATGCTCTGAATTTATGATCATTTTAGTTTAAACAAGTTAAAAACAATCTGCAAATACTGTTTGCCAGTTTAACTTTTTTAAGTAATTTTTTTAACTGCCCATATCACACTGGTTATGTTTACATCTAATAGACTGGCATCTCTTTCTAGATCTTTACTTTGGAACTCATGGAGCCTTTCCCAAAATTTCATACTTTAAGGATCTATGATTTGAGCACTAAGATTACTAACCCTACCGACACATCAGAAGCTCTCAGTGATTTCACAGATGTTCTTGAAGGGTTGCTGTGGCCCCAAAAGAACATCACTTTCTGGTTAACTTCGTGATAAACTTGGCTAGGCTGTTTCTTAGCTATTGGACCACAAATGGATACTGGGTCCATAGTCAAAGTCCTTCAAGTTTCAACAGGCCTGCAGAGCTAGTTAGCAGAGCTAGCTAGCATTGTAATAAAAAAGCATTTGATAACCCATGGTCACATCCTTGCCACAATGAAGCATCAAAGCATAATTTTAGTAAAGGAATTACTTGTAAAATATTCATTCTATGAACCAGGCACTTAATAAGAGTGATGATGATATATTGCACAAGGTAATGGGAGAGATGTATCAGGAAGCTAACCATTTTGGTGGATCACGGAAACATGAATAATAAAATCTAAAAATGTAGTTATCAGCCTGATAGGACCATGTGTATCAATTTTTCCATGTAAATTTGTAACACTAATAACTGAAACTGTTTTCTTTGCATGTGTATAAAATAAGCAAAAAGACAATCTTCTGTGTTTCTAGCTAGTGTTTGTGAAATAACATTCTACCTATTAAAACACTTTCTGCAGTGAGTGGTTTGTTTAACCAACCTTGCTCTTTTAGAGAATGTATGCTCATTGTTGAAAAGTGTTTATGAGAAGAGTCAAGCACACAGGAAAGTCTAGTTAGTAAAGACAACCACCCCAAATTCTTTATGAAATGTTTTGGTTGGGTTTTTTTTTAAAGAAGAAAGCGATGGTATACACTAACATCCTGGGTTATAGGAGAAGAAAATAATAATAAAAAGAGTACATCATAAGACACTATTCCAAAACACAATGGTTTCCCATTTTATTTATGTTCAAGAAGCTACAATTGAGTACGAGTAGACTGACATTTAATAAGCTAAAGATGAAAAAAAATCCGTTTTCATTTATTTATGCATGAATGTATAAATTTGTATGGATTTTAATAGATGTTCTCTATTCAAATAATATATGCAGGAAAGAAAATAAAGGTTACAAGAGAGGAAAAAATAGTGGTTTATGGCTTCCCTAAAAGCAAATCATTGTCAACACCAATATAACAGATTTTAATTTATGGGCTCTGATGTACAACAGGAAACATTTTGGACTTTGTAAAAGTTCAGTGTATCCACATACATCTCAAGGTATAAATAAACAGAGTTTTTAGGAAACAATATAATAAAATAAGTTTACATTCAAAATCACAGTACATTCATTTTCTTTAGTCAGTAAAAATATTCCTTGATTAAAAGGCAGTGTATTACAGCCTTGTTTTGTAAATGTATTTCAGGAAAATAGGTCTAGCAGTATTTGAAATACCACACTTTTTTCAAAAGAGCAGCAGAGCAGCAGAATTCAGTTTAAAAATAGTATATTGCAAAATATCTGAACATGTTATTTCTTTCTAAGTGCAAAGGCAGTTCCATTGTTAAGGATAATTTTAAATCTTATAAAGTGAACCGTTTTACTATTTCCGTAGTCTCTTCAAATCTAAATATCTACAATAAAATATAAATCTTTTACATCTATGAGACACAAACATCCAGACACAGACATAACACAAATTCCTTGCAATGTTATTCTATTACAAAGCTTAAACACAAAGATGGGCACAAGCCACAGATTGAAAACAGGCTCCCCTGCTGAATTTGTGTAGCATTTAGCCAAAGCTCAAATACTTGTGCTCTGCAACAGTCTGGAAAATCCAAAACCAACTAAGGCAAATGTCATGGCTGCCTTAGGAGCAACACCACAAAGAGAAATATAAAGAAATGAAGAAACACTTGAATGAACGTGTACCTTCACAGACCTCGGCTATCTGTGCAACATTTATTTCTATTTATGGGTGAGGAAATTTGCGTGGTAAACCACACTGCTCTCTATATGTAAGCCTAGGATGTCTCAATCTGCTCCTTGCTTTTAAGTGCATTTAAAAAAAAAAACTGGTCTGTTTTTTCATAGCCAGCAGAAAAAAATGGCAAAGGGCTTCAAGATGCAGAGAGGAAAAGCTTTCCACAGAAATGAAAGTGCTTCAAGTTTTAAAAGTGCTTCTTCCAAACGTGATCTTCTATGCAGCAATAAGGTGGTATTTAAAACAGGAGCTGACTCTCTACATGATGCTTTATCAGCGATCCTTGATAAGTGATTCAGAAGAACGCCGAGGATCCCTGCAGTACGGATGGTGCAGATGGCACACCACTGGATGTCAGGAGGCCTGTTTTGCACTCCCTACTTTGCTACCAGCTGTAAACCCATGGGGAAATTGCTTCATGTTTCTATGCCTCAGTTTCCTCATCCATAAACTAAGAGGAGTGGCCTAGATAAATCATGAGGTCATTTCCAGTCTTAAAACTCTAGACTGCACATCTTTAGAGTGGGATTTCTTTGGAGGATCAGAGAGGGAACGGATGTTTTCATGAATGATCAGTCACCTACAGCCATTTCTTAGCCCTTACTGGTAAAAGCGCAGAAAGGGATAACAATCCCCAAAACACTATGGACAGCTAAAGGAATTATTCAAAGTAATATGCTGCCCAATATTTTTTAACAACAATAATCCAATCATATACAACAAAGTAAGACAGAACAAACAACAGAACACGTCAATTGGTCTCCTAATAGCATAATCTTCTGGCATCCCAGAACCATACTCAGATCTAAAAGCTTTAAAAAATAAGTTCTCTTTAAATGATCTTAAGAGATTCACAATTCTGAAAAATTTCATATTCCTTTTGTGTAAAAATTAATCTGTAAATTGTCTTAACGATACTATGAAGATAGGTGTGTTATCAAAATGTCAATTAACAGCTAAGTAAGTCAACCATTTCCCATGCACTCACTACGTATTGGAGCCTCTAATGTGACACAGTCCCTACATATTTAATACACTAGACCTCACTCAAGAGATCCTGAAGTTCAGCAGTCATCATCCACAAGCTTTGACCCATTAATCCCCCGATAGGTCACTCTGCTTGGCCGAACCAAAACTCCATGGTTTGGCTTACAGGTGAAATAACGTTTGTCCCCCACTGAACCATCATTCTTTCCCCTGGCACCTTTGAGTTCAAGTCCAAGCCAGGTGCCTGGGGCAAAGTCAGTGGGGCCCACATACCTAATAATGGCCATTTCATTAGAGCTGGTGAGGAGAACCTGAGAGCCCTGGTGCAGTTTCACAGCTCCTTCCACGCCTCCTGCAGTTGGAGTACTGCTCCAGCTTCGACGAAGTAAAGCACTTTTTGATCTATTCAGGGTTGAAAAATGTACATGATACATATTTAAGTACTTAGCCACAAAGACCATGCAATTTTTACATTGATTTTCAGTGGCAAACATAATTTTTAGGTCCAATAATGTTTTTAATCATTAAAATCTTAATATGAAAATCCATAACTTAGTATGAAAATAAATCTGCAAGTTTTTAATTGTGGAAAACGTAATCTCTTCTGGCTTACGCAGTCTAGTTCTAGATTCAGAATTTCACTTGCAAGGCCTGACGGCAGCACTAGTACCGTCACCAAGAAATATCACCAAAACTATCATTTTGCAGAGACTACCTGCTAACTATCATTTGCAAAAATATCCATGATTTCTGCAGGGGTCAGGAGTAATGGTGGAGGAATTATGGTGGTAAGCAAATTAAGATGGCTTTCTGTTCACTTGGTTCAGGCTCTCATGCATCACCTTTTCCCTGGATGGCTGCAATAATGAGCCTTCTATCTCGATGCGTCAAGCTGCTGCTCTCTCCTTCAAGTCACCCTCCTCCATCCTTCTAAGGTGTGGGCCTGATCATGTTACCCTCCTGCTGTTGTCCCCATCATCAACAGAAACCCTTTAGCTTGGCATTTCAAGCTGTACCCAAGCTGGCCCCTTCCTGACTTTCCAGCATTCTTGTTCTCTCTTCCTCTGCAGACCCTCTCCACACCAGCAGCCCCAGCCTCTGGCAGGTCCTCCCTCACATCCCTCCCCCTCCCTTCTCAGTGCCTCTGCCCTGGCTGTTTTCCACACCTACCTATAATGCTCTGCTCCCTCCCCCTCAGAAGTTCCTAGGGACTTCCTTCAAGTCCTAGCTCAAATCAAACTCCTCCAGGGGGCCTTTCTAGTGCCTCCAGCTGCAAATGCCTCTTACTCTCAGATGCTTTCTTTCCATCTACTTGGTATGTAAACATATACAAATAGGTGTGTATGTGCATCTGCCTAATTGTTTACATGTCTCCCTCATCATAATATAAGCTCCTTGAGGAAAAAGACTGTGTTTTTGCCTCTCTTTGCATCCCTAGTGCTTAGTGCAATGCCTGACACATAGCAAGTACTTAATAAATAGGCATTCTAGGCCCTTCACAAGCCCCTCCTCCCTTTCCAGTCTTCTTACACCTTACTCCTCCCCCAGCACCTGCCCACCTCCCATGCCTGGAATGCTCTCTCTTCTTCTCCATCTCCTAGCTTTCTTCGAGGCCCTGCTATGATATAATCTCACCTTCTACAAGAAGTCTTCCCCAACCACCACCACCCCCTTAATTCTAGTGCCTTCCCTCTGCTAATTATCTCCAACTTATCTTGGCTATATCTTGTTTGTAGTTACTTCCATTAGCTGGGAGCTCATTGAGAATCAGGACTTTTATTTACCTTTCTTTGTACGCTGAGAGCTAAGTACAATGCCTCTCATATAGCAGGCCCTTAATAAATGCTTACTGACCATAGACTAAATGCCTGTTGACTGGTTGATTACTTTCACATAAGCAGACAGCAATTAAAAATATACTGGCAGTCATTAACTTATCAAAATGTGACAGGAGATATTATTGTGACACACATACATACACTCATGCATCCTAAGGCAGTGCACCATAGTGGATACAGAGCCCACCTTAGAGTCAGGAAGGTCTGGGTTCAAGCCCTACCTCTGACATACACCCACTGGATAAGTGACAAAGCCTCCCAGTGGCTTGGGTACTGACAACTGTAAGTTGCAGAGAAAATGAAGGCTTGCATTGGTAGAGAAGGTTTCCTCATTGCAGGGGGGTGGGGGTGGGGGGGTGTTTGCTCTGTTCATGAAATTACATGTCTCAGCCCATCCTGTGTATACCTGTGCATCAATGCATACGTGTATTCAAGCATACGTATGTGCATGCAGTTAGGCACATGCACACCTACACATACATGCATGGGCATACACAAATAACCAAACACATACAGATATGCACACACATGCACACATACACATGCATCCTAAGGCAGTTTGGTGGGATTGGACAGAAAACCAGCTTAAAAGTCAGAAAGACCCTTGACTCATACTGGCTGTGCAACCCTGGGCAAGTCACATAACTTCTGGGTGCTCCAAGCAGCTTTCTATCTGTGCTATCAGCAACAGAGAAGGTGCTGACCTGCACTGACAGAGAGGAAGCTTCCTCAGCAAGGATTCACTATATTAATGATAATAATAATCACAAGGTCCCAAACACATACACACACACGTGCACTTATTTGTAAGGACAATCACTTCCATGTGCACATCCACAAATGAAGACACACTCAAACGCACACATGCACAAACATGTACATCAGCACATGCACCCATGTATACACAATACACACATGTACTACACCCACAGATATGTGCGCACAAGCACATCTTCCTGCCGGGGGAAGGGGGTGTTTCTACCCATTACACAACAGATCCTAATGTACTATATCAAGCACCTAGAAAAACTAAGTTCAAGTACTCCCACTTTGATAGAAGCGAACCCTGGGCAAGTATTAAAAAAAAAAAACTGTGACAAAGTTAAACAATCCTCAAAGAGTTTCTATCCTTTTGGGAAAACAACACATACACACATAATTATATACACAGAAATTTTGTTGGGGGGACTAGCAGGTGGGAGGATCAGGGCGGGCCTCCTGAAGGAAGTGGCACAAGCTCAACTTCTACCCAAGCTAGAGATTCCAAATGTCGAGGGAAAGAAGGAGGATGTCTCGGGCATGGAAAGGCACAAAGATGGGAGAATGAAATAATGTTTTTTGGTTTCCTCTGACAAATGATTAAAAACAACTCTGCACATGCCTCTCCAAGGACAGCTTATGAGCCATCCTTCCATTTAGTTGGAATTTCCTCCAGTTCCTCAGTTCCTCCAGAAATCTGTCCACTTGTGGCCACTGGACAATGAGCTTGCATTTAAAATGCTAATACCTAAATTAAAGTTTTTAGACAGTCTAAGTACTGTATGATTCTTAGCATCTTCTGCCCCTTTTCTCCACTAAAGAAGTGGAAGGAGACAGGGCCTGTGGGATGCTTTATATTTGCCTTTGTTCTATGGGTTACCACAGACAAAGAATTCATCACCAAATGGTCAGATGCCTGGGGATGCCCCTCTCCATACTTCACTTGGCTGGGTTTTGAAGAAGAGACTTAATCTGATTCCAGAACCATATTATATATGTACATATATAAACAAATACAAAATAAATACAAGGTGATTTAATGGAAAATGAACTAACAGGTGGGGCAGAAGGGGAGTCAATCAGTCAATAAGCATTATTAAGTACCTACTATGTGCCAGGTGTTGTGCTATGGGTGCCCTGTAGACATCTTAAACTTGGTATGTCCAAAACTGAACTCATTATCTTTCCCCCCCAATGCTCCCCTCTTCCAAATTTTTCAGACTATTTGTTGACAAGACAAATATTGAAGCTTCATAATGAGAAGGACTCACTGGAAAAGATCCTAATGTTGGGAAAGATTGAAGACAAAAGGGAAAGGGGATGGCAGAGAATGAGATGCATAGACAACATCATGGAAGCAACCAACATGAGCTTGAACAGACTTCAGGAGAGAGTGAAGGATAGAAGGGCTTGGCATGCTATGATCCATGTGGTCACAAAGAGTCAGACACAACTGAACAACAACAAACCCTGTGCTATGCACTGGGGATGCAAAGAAGGGATAAGAACAGTCCCCAGAATCAAGGAGCTCACAGTCTAACTACAGAAACAACATGCAAACAACGACGTACAAACAATATCAATAGAGGATAACTTAGTGATAAACTGCCAGAAGGAAAGTACTAGGATAAAGGGAGGATTAAAAAAGGCTTCTTGTAGAAGGTGGGATTTCAGCTAAGACTTGAAGGAAGTCAAAGAAACCAACAGGCAGAGATGAGGAGGGAGAGAATTCCAAGCATGAGGGTGGTTGTTGTTGGACAGTCAACGAAAATAACCAAAGTTGGAAGATGGAGTTTCTTGAGCAAGCAGCGCAAAAAGAGTCAGACTATATTATCTTACTTCGGTGACAAAGAAGATCAAAACATACAACCAGAAGAAGAAAACAAAATCAAAGCTCCTACATCCAAAACTTCCAAGAAAAATATGAATCAGTCCCAGGCCTTGGAAGAACTCAAAATGGATTTTGAGAAGCAAGTAAGAGAAGTAGAGGAAAAACTGGGAAGAGAAATGAGAGTGATACAAGAAAATCATGAAAAGCAAGTTAACAGCTTGCTAAAGGAGACCCAAAAAAATACTGAAGAAAATAACACCTTAAAAAATAGCCTAACCCAAATGGCAAAAGAGGCCCAAAATGCCAATGAAGAGAAGAATGCCCTAAAGAGCAAAATTGGACAAATGGAAAAGGAACTCCAAAAGATTACTGAAGAAAATACTTCCTTAAAAATTAGAATAGAGCAATTGGAAGCTAGTGACTTTATGAGAAATCAAGACACTGTAAAACAAATCCAAAAGTATAAATAATTAGAAAACAACTTGAAATATCTCATTGGAAAAACAACTGACCTGGAAAATAGATCCAGGACAGAGAATTTAAGAATTATTGGACTATCTGAAAGCCATGATCAAAAAAAGAGCCTAGACATCATCTTTCAAGAAATTATCAAGGAACACGGTTTTGATATTTTAGAACCAGAGGGCAAAATAGAAATTGAAAGAATCCACTGATCTCCTCCTGAAAGAGATCCCCAAAGGAAAACTCCTAGGAATATTGTAGCCAAATTCCAGAGTTCCCAGGTCAAGGAGAAAATATTACAAGCAGCCAGAAAGAAACAATTCAAGTATTGTGGAAACATAATCAGGATAACACAAGATTTAGCTGCTTCTACATTAAGGGACCGCAGGTCATGGAATATAATATTCTGGAAGGCAAAGGAGATAGGATTACAACCAAGAATCACCTACCCAGCAAAACTGAGTATAATTCTTCAGGGGAAAAAATGCTCATTCAGTGAAATAGAGGACTTTCAAGCATTCTTGATGAAAAGACCAGAGCTGAATAGAAAATCTGATTTTCAAATACAAGACTCAAGTGGAACACAAAGAGGTAAACAGGAAAGAGAAATCATAAGAGACTTATTAAGGTTGAACTGTTTACATTCCTGCATGGAAAGATGATATTTATAACTCACGAGACCTTTGTCAGTATTAGGGTAGTTGGAGGGAAAAAATTATATGTATGTACATATATAGAGATAGATAGATAGATGGATAGATAGATGGATGGACAGACAGAATGAGAGACAGATAGATAGACAGACAGACAGACAGATGGCACAGGGTGAGTTGAAGATGAAGAGGTCATATCTGGAGAATAAAATTAAGGGATGAGAGAGGATTATACTAGGAGAAGGAGAGAGGGAAAGTAGAACGGGGTAAATTATCTCACAAAAAAAAAATAGAAAAGAAAAGGCTCTTACAGTGGAGGGAAACCGGGGGAAGGGGAGAGGAAATGACTGAATCTTATTCTCATAGGATTTGACTTAAGGAGGGTATAACATACACACTCAATTGGGTATGGAAATCTGTCTTACCCTACAGGAAAATAGGAGGGGAAGGGGACAAGAGAGTAGGGGGATGATAGAGGGGACGGCAGATTGGGAAAGGGGGCAATCAGAAGCAAATGCTTCTGAGGAAGGACACGGTCAAAAGAAAGAATAGAATAAATGGGGGGGTAGGATAGGATTAAGGGAAATAGAGTTAGTTTTTCACAGCATGTCTACTATGGAAGTGTTTTGCATAACTGCACATATATAACCTATATTGAGTTGCTTGCCTTTTCAATGAGCGTGGGTGGGGAGGGAGGAAGGGAGAAAATTTGGAACCCAAAGTTTAAAAAACACATGTTTAAAAAAAAATGTTTTCACATGCAACTGGGAAATAGGAAATACAGGAAATGGGGTACAGAAATCTATCCTGCCCTACAGGAAAATAGAAGGGGAAGGGGGTGGAGAGATAGCAGGGAAAGCAGACTAGGGGAAGGGGTATTCAGAATGCATGCCATCTTGGGGTGGGGGGAGGGGCGAGATGAGGTGAAAATTTGGAACTCAAAATCTTGTGGAAGTAAATGTTGAAAACTAAAAATAAAAAAATTTTAAATTAAAAAAAAAAAGAAAAGTCCCGAGGGAATCTTGGCAAAAAATTCAAAAAAAAATTCAAAAAAAAAACTATACAAATTAAAAAAAGCTCAAATATAAAAGGAAAAAGGGGCTATTGGGAGTGAAGTAGATCTAGGGAAGGTAGAGGGACTGAGATAAGTATAAGAGAAGAAATTCTCTGTTCAGAGAAACACTTAAAGCAGAATATTCCACATTATCTAGGTTATACCAAATAACAAAATATTGTTTCATCTAGGCAAAGTAGTCTTAAATTCCTTTGATATACTTATTATTTGCATTCAACAGGGAAAAAACTAAATCAAAATTTCCAAATTAGTTACTAAAGTAGAATTGATTTCGGGAGAAAGGGGAATTCACCCAATTCAATGGTAACACAAAACATCAACCCCTTTTCACAGAATCTACAGCCTTCAAAAACAGAAAATGATAGACACAGAGACATATATGTATATAAATACAGACACAAACACATATATATGTGTTTATGTATATATGATGTCAAAACATTAAAGATTTTTATAAGCATTTACAAAAAGATAATATACTCACAAAGTAATTATTTCACTATTAATGCAAGCATTACACATTTGCTCCTAAATGTTAAGATATGCACCAAAGAATAAGACACAAAATAGTAATCCTTCCATAACATTCCAAGTCATATTTATCTCAACTATCTATGTTTCTAAATAACTTGATAACTCACTTTTCAAAAGCATTTCTTCTGTTCATCTCTTTCTGAGAAGATGCAGAAGTTGTGCTGAAACTTCGTCTAAAACCTAAGTAGGAAAATTAATGGTAGAATAAATGAAAAAAAAAACCCAACCCCAAACTTGTAGGCCTATTCAACCCCATATTCTGTCTCTACTTCCACAGATGTTGCATTATATCAAATTTTTTTTGGAAGCTGGAGTCAAAGGGAGAAAGTACATATATATGAAACATAATTATAGCTTAGATTTCTTGAGAAAATTTTATCCAAAATTCAAATGATTTCTTATATCCTTATTAATCAAACTATATACATATAAGAATAAGACAACCATTTTTCCAGAGTGTCGGGTTTTTTTTAATTTTGCTGGAAAACACTGGATACTAAAAAAAAAAAATTTCATAAAGACAACAAAATCACTCCATACAGATAAAGCTACCATTTTTTTCTACTGAATTTAATAGTTTTAATTAGCTACCAAAAAGATTAAAGACAAAACTCAAAGTACACATACTAAGAAAAAAGTAATGTTTATCACTAAAGACACCTAATTCTCTACATGTTCAAAGAAAATTAATTCCTTTATTATCACAAAAAGCAGCATGCATTGTTGTCCTAACAATACACCTTTCAGTTTTTGACTGTTGGAAGCTCCATTGATTGCTAGTTGAAGATAATAGCTTCCACACACAAAGTGAATCAAGGAACTTGTGTATGTCTCTTTCCTTAAAAGGTCTGGAGAGGAAGCAGTTAATAATGCAATACAGAACTAGAGGTTTCCTTTTTTTTTATTTTAATAAAATTCTTAGTCTTACCTGGAAAAGAATGATTTCGTTTACTTGATGCATTTGCTGAAAGAGTATCTTTTAGTCTATTGATAAAACAAACATGCACACATCTCAGTACGACTATCTGGTGCTCAATGAAAATAACGACTCTACTGATTTATGTATGATAAACTCATTTATTTGATACTGGTTTTCAATGGGGATATGACAACCATTGTGATATCAGTTTCTATTCTCACAAAGCAATCCTCAAGCTGTCCCCAATTTGAAAATGATCTTCCCAAGTTTTCTTCAAAATCTTACTGATCTTTTATTCTGAAGGCCTTGGATGCTTAAGTTTGAGTTCATCTGAATTTTAAACTCCTCTACAGCAGAGATCTGTTCTATTTGCTAAGGGACAGCCCAACACTGCACTATGTGAGGACTTAATATTGTGGGGATGACAACAAACAACTGAGATATATAACATAAAGAGTATAAAAAGTAGACCATTTAGAGATGGCCTCCTTTATTTTTAACAGAGGGCTGAGCAGAAGGAGAAAGGTCAGAAATAAAAGAGATTTGTGTTTAATCAATAAATAATAGTTAAAATCATAAGAGGGAAAAGTGACTTAGAGATATAATATATAACAAAGAGAAGAAGAAAGGAATGACAGAGGATTAGGGTCACTCACCAAATGAGAAATAACACAATGCAACAGACAGAAAACAACAGCTGGGTTCTCCCTTAGCCTCTGCCACTTACAAGTCATGTAACCTTGAGGACAATCAGTTAGCCTCTCTACCTCTTGGTATCCTCAGCAACAAAGGAAGGACAATTCACTCCTACCAGAATTTTAGTGAGAATCCAATGAGATAATATACATGGATGTACTCTGAAAACCATTTTTAAAAAAGTTTTTCCTGAACCAGATAATCTCACCTAACTTTCTTATTGACTTTTTTCCTTCCTCTGAGATTTAATTCAACTTTTGGGATTATTACTAATAATATCTTAATGATACCATCATTACATAGGTGAGTTTACATGTGCATACACATACACACACAATACATAAATGTCAATAGCTGAATAAGAAGTGAATCACAAAATATCAGAAAGGAAGGAAAAAACAACAAAAATAATAAAATTAATAAATTAATAAAGTTTTAAATCTAAAGTTTTATAATTTAGACAGGAAAAACTACTATCTTTGGTTACAAGTGTGTTAATGAAGTGAAAAAAGTCATAAACGTTAACAGGCAAAAAAAAAATTAAGGAAAGTTAAGAAATTTATAGAAAAGAGATCGGGATAACAGAAAAGAAAGTAATTGGGCAGTAAAAGGTTTGGAGTTTTGTAATTTTAGAAGAGGGTATATATAAGCTATTAGAGCTTAAAGCTGCACTAAGACTTTTGGGACACACTTGGGACAAGAATTCCCTTACATATTTATAAAAATCACTTCAGAGATCTCTTCAAACAATTTTGAAACAAAAACAAGGTAAAATTAATTTTTATTTAAAATAATAATAATAGCACCCACTTCCCATGGTTGTTGTGAAGATAAATGGAGATAACATTTATAAAGCATTTTGTAAACACTGAAGTGCCATATACAACCAAGCGATTGTTATCAGTATTAACACAATACATGACCAGCATATACATCAATATCCAGTACAGTTCCTCTCAAAACACAGTGCTCAATATGTACCATACTCAGTTCAGTCATTTGTTGGATGAATGAACTTATGTTCCTGTTGCCCAAATAACCAAGAGTAACCATTTTAAAACAAATAGTACTATTAAAAAAATAAGGTATAAGTATAAAGAAAGTTGCCTTCCAAGTTTCCTAAAAAGGGAACCAAAAAGACACAAGAAAATCTTAAATAATTTATCTGGAACCTATCTTGACAGTATCCATTTATACTCTATTGTCTAGTGTTTCTATCTGAACCAGAAGAGGCTCACAGCTAGATAACGGCTGGAAGAGCTGCTCACAAGCATGTACTTACATTATTCATGTTATTTTGTATTTAGAAATTATTATACCATTTCCCTTCCACTGTACCAAGACAACATGCCTCTCAGCATATCAGTATATACGACAAGTCATCTCACATAATGATGTCTAGAATTTGTAGAGGATTTGCTTCTGGTAAACTGATTTCTTAAAACCAAAGTGAACTAGGATGATTTTCAAAGTGTAATATCTTAACAAAAAACAGTGAGCTACTTTATTACACATAAAAAAAAAAAATCTTTGAAGCTCCACTTCCACCAAAGATCTACTGTCTATCTGTTTTTGAGACCAAAAGGAATCAGAGGAAAAAGCCATTTTGGTTCCATTAGGTTTGTAAGAGAATGAATGGGGTGCCTGCTGGCAGGAAATGTAATGCAGTTAGGATGTGACTGAAGCAATCAGATAGCATTTTAACTTTTGTTTGCATGACAGATTAAGCTTGCTGCTCTCACTGTTCTTAGCTGCAATGCTACATCTAATAGCCTACACGTACTCATAGGGTATGCAAATGAGGAAGAAAGGATGTTTTTTAAAATTGCAAATCCTCAGCAAAAGGAAATTTTGCTTTCCATGAACACTCCCTCTAAAGAAGGTAGAAACTTAACCCCTTGGAAGAAGGAATGAGCTGCATCCAATGCCCCACTATTAAAGGAAAAACTCTAACTGGAAGGAAAAGCCAGTTAGAAAATCTGTACCTGGAAATAAATATATATATACATATATATTATATAAATATTCCATTTTTACCTCTGCACCCTTGTTGGGGGAGCAAATATTCCATATCTTGGTTGACAAGTAAAGTACTGCACACCTCCAACTGAACCGTCATTCTTGCCATAGGGCTTTTCAAGCTCAATGCCACACCAAATTCCTAGAATATAAACACAGAGTTTATGAAGCACCTGTACTTTCCCCATGACCAGTATATTAGTCCTAGCTCCGGTGCAACCAAAGATTTTCAGAAATGTAACATGGAGAGGCATTGAATTTTAAAGTGATAAAAATTACATTGCACAAAGTGGTCAGAAAATAACAATGTAATTTAATAAGCATAACTACAGGGTATATTAGGGAAGGAAAAATAAACCTGAGAAATAGACGTGTGGCAAGCACTAGCTCTATGTATGCAGAAGCCATAATAGATCAGTAAAGTGGAGAAGGCAAGCATGACGTTGAAACCCCAAGGCTAAATCAAGGAGCTAGCCTTACAAGGAAAAGAAACCACTATCATCTTCTAATGCTGATTACTGTGTCTAGTTTCATGCTACCCAACTAAGATGGAGCATGGAGAACAGGAACGAGATGTTGCAAGAAGCCACCAAGATGGCTAGAGGGCTGGAAAGTGTGACAAAGAAGGGAATCACAGGAGGAAATCAGTTCCAGTCCAAGTCCACAAAGAACATTCAGACAAGGTGGCAAACAACTATTTTCTAAAATGACCCAAAACAGGAAAGGTAAGGTTAACTGGGGGAATAAAAGGATTTACTTTTGACATTATGAATTTTCCAGAAGGGTTTTAAGTGCTTGAAGGAAATTAAACCCAAGTTATATTAGCAGATTTCTCATGGGCCAGCTAGTGGCACTGTGATAGAGTGCTAACTTACCAGCTGTGGGACCCTAGGCAAGTCTTCTAATCTCAAGAAGGAGAACGCCAAGGGAGTCAAAATGTGAAGTTACTTTAAGATATAAAAGGAGGACTAGGCAGAAATAGTATCTGGGTACTACCAGCTATGATAAATAGAAAATTCAAATAAATGTCAGACTTAAATATTTTACGTTATCAAATTCATAGATCAGTGTCTTCTCTCAGATGACCAATTTAAAGATTTAATTAGATAATAGAAAAGGTAATTCAGGGGATATTTTACCATTTGTAAGTTGTTCTCTGTATTCAAAGATAACATAATTTTCCACATTTGAGAATGCAGTGAAAAGACTAATGAATAACCTATTCTTTTTCTATGAACAAGCTATCCAATAACGTGGAGGTACAGAGCAGGGTAGATGGGACTGTCATGGTTTTTAGCTGTGCCATTTAATGTCTCACAAAAATAAGCCACCACATATTCCAAGCCAGGTGACTCTATCTGCCTCTGCTGTCTCCCATAACACCTCAACTATGCTGTATTATCTGAAGTTACATTTCACTGTGCTCTTAACACAGATTTGCCCTGTCTATACAATCCCCTAGGAGCTCGCCATGGAGTACAGCTTCCTGATCAGCTCCCATGAGAACCCTTGCACCCGTGCAACTCCAAAGGGCTGAGCAGGAACAAGCAACACCATGATGTTTCAGCAGGCTACAGACTATAGTCTCTCTGCTGATGGTTCCAACTTATCACTTGTTTACTATGGTTCACAGATGACACAGACAAAACTGCTCAGAAAAAGATGGAACATATTTAATAGGTCAAGGTTTTATAGTCATATTGAAGGCCAGAAATCACATTGCTTGGTAAGCTTTGTTTGTTCTGAAAACTGATGTTTTCCGTTTCTGTCTTTGTATCCTTATCACCTATCACACTGTCTTGCACAGAGAAGACACTAATGAGTGTTTAATTGATTATAAGTACCACATTCAACTATTCTCCCAAAAGGACTCTCCAGAAGGAGTAAAGAGAATACCAATGATACATGGCCTCAGCAGAAAACATCCTTTCTAGAAAGGCAAGTGTGTCTTTTCTAGACCTCAGTTTTCTTACTTGTGAAATGAAAGGGGATAGACTCAATGACCTCTAAAGTCCCTTCCAGCTCTAATGATCTAGGACTAAGTTTTTATTTGCAAACCATTAACACGAAAATACTAGCTGATCTCAATGACCACCTGAAAAATAGAGAGACAGAAGTAAATTCTACAAAAGAAACCAGCCTACAATCAACTTGAGGTATTATAATCAAAAGCAGACAGGTAGCCAGTAAGGGATAAAAGGAACAGAATATTATGTGCTTATTCCTCATCAATTTTTCAGTATGCATTTTCTTTTTGAAATATTGCAATGCCACCATGTGTCAAAATGGCAATATTGCCACTTTAAATTTTCAGCAGAACTTCGCTCCACATGGAAGTACTAAGCTTCCATTTGAAAAGTACAAAAATGCATGGTACGTGAAAGGGCTTTGTAAAACCCTTTAAAGCATTCAATAAATATACAACAGTATTAGTAATAGAAAAATGCAAAATAAAGTCTCTTTTACATAAAAACACAAGATTAAATCTATGTTTTCCCTTGACCTTATAAGAAGCCCAGAAATAAATATACGGACACATAAATGTTTAAGTGAATTGTGTATACACAAGCTTTTAGTTTGCTTTAGCATAGCACAATCAAGCAAAGTCACTCTTCTGGAAAAATAGGATTTTCTATTCTCTACAAGGAACCCTAAACAAAGTTACACAGTCAAGTCTTCATTGTCTGAGAGAAAATTATTCATTTTATAGATTATCCCAGGCAAAAACCATAATCCCAGCCTTATTTCTCTAACCCAACATGATCTTTGACAGCAAACACTAAGTGTATGATCAGAGAATACAGACTAAGGTTATTATTAGCCTAAGAGAAATATAACTGGAAAGATAAATCTGTTGGGGAAAAGCAGAGAACATTACCAAAACAAAGATAAATGGTTGGAAGATTCTCCACCGTTATATATTTGTTACCACTGCATCATCCACCAAGAAAGTTGAATGAAATTCAGTTTCACAGATGGGAGGTTCTTAAATTTCTTTTTCACGTAAAAAAAAAAAAAGAATCAAGGTAAGCTACCTGGAGCAAAGTTTGTTGTTCCAAAGAACCTGACAGTGCCAATCCTCTGGCCCACCACCAGCACTCGGTCTCCAACATGAACTTCTTCTTCCCGCTTATTTCCCACAGATGTAGTTGAAGTAGTAGACCCTGCTTTGCCAATAAAATAATGAGTCAATATCAGTCCCAGTCTGAAGAGAAATAAGCATGTTAGACAATGAACACAACCCTAATAAATGCCTCTAGGATCCCTGGTCTTGGCGGTACCACTTCTTCCTTCTTTGATCAATCCTCTATGCCTTAATATATAGTTTTTTGCTAGTTATTATGGATAAAATAGTTACCATCTTGCGGCCAACCTGGAGATGAACCTTTCTGAATGTTTTAGGTCAGTCTGTGAATGCCAGGTGTAGACTGTAGGCTGTATACACAACACCTTTCCAGCCTGGTAAGATCTACCAGAGCTTGTAGTCTGTGGGCATGGCTGTGGAAAATTCAGAGGCAACTCCATGCCTCAACAAGGCATCCAAATAAGACATCAGCAGAGAAATGGTGAGACATCACTTCTTTAAAAACCTGATACAAGCCTACACTTCAGTAATTAAAGTCCTGTGCCAGATCCCAGGAAATAAGAGTACCACCACAAGCTGTCTGGGGCACACATGTTAGGAGAATTGTGCTCAACTCTTGGTGCCATATTATAAGAGGAACAATGACAAATGAGCATGTACAAAGGATGGAAACTAAGATGGTGAGGAGTGTGGAAACCACATGTGAAGAATGATGAAAGGAAATAGGAACATTTAGCCTGGAGATAAGAAGACAAAAGAGACAGATGGTAGTTGGAGAGATGTAGGCTAGATAACAGTACACATGGTTTTAGAACCAATTGAATAAACAGACCCAAACAGTGTAAGTGGAAATCTTATTGAAGGTGGTATAAAGTGGGGCGCCCGTAGGATCTGGCCCTCAGCCATGACAGCTTTGTCAATTACTTTAAGGAGTGCATAACTTGTACACTGATCAAATTTGCAGATGACACAAAGCTGAGTAAGCTAACATAAGACACAACAGAATCCAGATCCAAAAATACCTTTATAGCCAAGCAAGATGAGTTAAATCTACTAAGATTAAATTTAACACATATATGTTACACAAGCTTTACATCTGAGCTCAAAAAATTAAACACACAAGTAGAGGACATAAGAGGTGCACCTAGACAACAACTTAAACGAAAAAGATATAGATGTGAAAACACCCCCCACTCACTCCCTTGAAGAGGTGAGGGATCCCCAGAAGCGGAACACTTCATATATTGTCAGATTTTTTATATGCTTATTGGTTTTATTTTTTTCTCCTGGTTTTTTTTTTAATTACTTGTTATAAAGGATGGCTCTCATGGAGGAGAAGGGAAAGGAATACAGGGAAAATTTTAAATGTAAAACCCAAAGCTATCAATAATTTCCTTAAAAGGAAAAAGATCTGAGTATTTTTGTATAGGATCAGCTCAACATAAGTCAATAGTAGAATGTGAAAGCCAAAAATACCTAAGATAACATTGGGTTGCACAAAAATAAGCACAAGGAAGTTGTAGTCCCACTATCCACCACCCTACTTAGATCACATCTAGAGTGCTGTGCTGAATACCCAAATGAGGGTCATGTTTTAGAACAAACCTCAGTGTGGCCAGAAAAGGATGTTATGTGAGGAGATTATAAACCATGCCATAAAATGCTTAGGTGGAGGGTTTAGGCACCAGATTTAGCCTGGAGAAGAGAAAATTTAGTGGGAATACGCTCTCAAGGAATCAAAGGATTGCTGTGTGGAAGAGGGTTATGATCAGGCCTGCCTCGTCCCAGAAGCCAAAACTATAAGCAATAAACCCAAGACAAAATTTCTGAGAACTGTCCTCGAGCTGCCCCAGGAGGTAGTGAGTCAACAGGCAGTCAGAGATGCCAGAGGAATTACTCTTCACATATTGTTGGACTAGACGACTTCTGAAGATCATTTTATTCACCCTACCAACTCTGAGATTCTGGGCTGCTCCCCTTCATCTGGTTACCGCCATGCTTTCCAGCTTTATCTCCCACCGTTCCTTTTCCCGTGCCCTCCCTCCCGGCCCCACTCCACTGTACAGTCTCCTATTCCGAGTGGCAGGGGTGAGGGTAGAGTGTTGTTCTCCCACATCTTCCTGCCACAGCCAGTCTCTGTGCCTTTGGCTCATGCTGTTCCCCACGCCTGGAATGGACTCTCCCTACTCACACCCGTCAGCACTTTTTAAAGTTCCTTCCCTTCATTCTAGCTTCAATTTCCGTGTCTGTAAAAGGGGAATGTTTTCACTACCTGCCTCACTGAACTGTTGTAAGGAATGTGTTTTACACATATTAAAATTCTCTATATATGTGAGTTATTGTGTCTCTTAACTTTTACTGCACATTGTTCTCCAAAAAGATCACCCTAACAATTTAACAGAGACTTCATTTTCCCAGAAAATTCCATGAATATTAAGTCTAATCACTTTGGAGCCCTTATGGTAAGTGAAAAAATCACTGCACTCAAAGTCAGGAGAACTAAGTTCAACTTCTAGCCCTTACACTTACTAGCTATGGGCAGCTCTCTTTAATGTCTCTTTACCTCAGTTTCTTCATTTGTCAAATGAGGATAACAATACTTTACCAGCCACCTATCCCCATGAGGTTATCACGAGAAAAGCTCTAAAAAGCTCTTCATAAATGTGAGTCCTTCAAAGGCCTACTCAGGCACCACCCACTTCCCTCCCCATGAAGCTTTCTACACCACCCCCAACCCTGACAGCTGAAGATGTTTAGTACTCTTTCTGGCTTTCTCCCTTGCATTAATCACATTTTTACCTTGTACCATAGTATTTGTGTATATTATCTTCTCTACCCTATTAAATTGTAAATTCCTTGAGAGTGGAGCCTGATTTGAGCTCGTCTTTCTTTGTCTTCTAGTCAGATACCTTCTGTGTAGCAGGCATTTAAGGAACGACATAATGAGAGTGATAATGGAAGATGCTTCCCAACAAAGCAGTGAACTCTATTACTGGAAGTATTCAAGCAAGGGCTGGACAATCATTTGGTGCGAAGATTATAGAAAAACTGCCCAGTCAGCACAAATGTCCTCTGATGCCACTCCTACTTCTAAGCTCCTACGCTATTCTGTGACAAGGACACTGATTACAGGAAAAAAGCAAAAGCTGAGCCTAATGCACAATAATCAGGAGGAGCAGATTTTTTTCAAGTGACTATGAATCTAAGAGTCAAGATTGCAAAATATGCAAGTTCTGCAAGCAACACCTCCAACTACAAAGCAAACAATCGTCTATACAGGTGCATGTCACACAAATGTTTGTCAGTCACCAACTGGTCCTTTCAGCTATGCCCACAAAACAGAGGGTAGTTGGGGGAAGTTTCTTCTTCAAACAGAAAAAGCCAGCAATATGTCCTGCTACACATTTTAAAAATCTAAGTCCACCAAAACTGAACCATGAGCAACCAAAAAATATTAAAAAAAGAAATGTTTAAAAAAACACCAAGAAATCCAGGATGAAAAGTCACAAGTACCAGCACTAGCTCTCGATGAAATGGAAGAACTTTTTATCGATGCCTCCTTATTACTGTTGGTTGGATTCCATTTCTTATGGTGAATCTGTTTGCTGTCCAGGGAGGATACAGAAGAGGAGGAACTGATAGATACAGGTGGAACAGCTGAAACAAAGAGAAAAGAATATTAAGATACAATGAGAGGAGCTTTCAAAGCTGACCCTGACTTCTGAAACATTCCCCTTGGCTTTCCAGCAATTGGGTGAGATCAAGTAGGAAGCAGGGTGCAGTGAAGAGTCCTGAATGTGGATTCTGAAATCCTATGCTCTTCAAGGCTTTGATATTCATATGTGATTCTCCTTTTTTAAATGGCAATAAAACTGCTATCCAACCCCATATCTCATCAAAATATCCATAGAATTTTTATGAGGACCAAATGAGAATGTATATGAAAACACTGTCAACTTTATAGCACAACAAAAACGCATGTTCTTTCTGAAGTGGACTGTGGCTGTCAATATCACTTGTAAATAATGCATTTCACAAACAGAGCAAAAATAAATATTGCAAGTGTTTGCCATGGAAATGATAATACTATGAACTAAAAGAGATGGAGATGGTGTTTGCTCTGTGTAAGGGACTGAGCTGGTAGGATAAAAGTGACAAACAGCAGATTCATATAATAAACCATCAACATTTTGAGAACAGAATATTTTATATTACCTTCCTTCCCAGGTACAGTTTTCAGTCCTTCACCAGGAGACAATAAAGATGTTGATTCAGAACCACCCTCTTTTTTAGATGTTGTTAATCCTGGGGTAAAAAAGCAACATTTTTTTCAGAAAACAGGAAAAAATTTCAAAATAGTTTGGAGTTAAACAAACACAGACAAGCCTTGAATAAAAATAATAAGCCTGGTTTCTTTTTTAAAGTACTATACTGGTCACTAATGTTTGAAAATAGAGATAAGAAACACCTGTTTATGAAAAATCTGTTTTTAAAAACACTTTTATGGTCACATATTACAATCCCAAAACATTTCCCTTCCCCGTGTCTTACATTCTTGGCTCAAAATCCAAATTATCAAAATATCATAAAAGCATTTTTAGAACAACTTTGTAGAACCAAGTAATCCAGCTAAGTGTTTTAAACACTGACTCCTGAGGACCTGCATTCTTTTCTTTCTGAAGTCTGCCAATTACCAAGTTTCACATAAACCAACTTTCAGGCCAGAGAAAACCATTTTATAGAATCTTGGCATTTTGGAGTTGTTAGATCATCCTGCCCACCTAAATGAGAAGTGAGCTCCATCTGATTCAAACTTTCATGGCCTTCAGCTTTCTGACAGAGGAGGCAGCAGGTGGCACAGAGGATACAGTGCTGTGACACCTGGAGTCAGGAAGACATGGGTCCAAATTCAGCCTCAGACACTTGGTAGCTATGTGACCCTAGACAAGCCATTTAACTTCTGATTTCCTTATTTTCCCCAACTGCAAAATGGAGTAATAATAGCACCTACTTCCTAGGGTTGTAGTGAGAATCAGATGAGATAATATGTGTAAAGCACATAGCAGACACTTAATATATACTGACTTACTTAGATTCCTCAACTGTAAAATGGGGATAATAGTAGCACCTACCTCCCATGGTTGTTGTGAGGTACAAATAAGCTATTTGTAAATTGCTTAGCACAGTAGCTGGCACATGGTAGGCACCATATAAATGCTTATTACATGATGTACTTTTTTTTTTTTTTGCAATTGGTGTTAAGTGACTTGCCCAGGGTCACACAGCTAGAAATTGTCAAGTGTTTGGTCTGAGCTAGATTTGAACTCAAGTCCTTCTGACTTCAGGGTCAGTAATCTATCCACTGCGCCACCTAGCTGCCCCATGATATACTTTCATACTCCATTTTGTACTGTATTTATTTGTGAAAACGACCATTTACACCCTTCCCCCAACAAGACTGTAAACTCCTTGGGGGCAGAGATCACATCATAATCATCTATGCAGACCTACAATGCCAAACAAAATGTCTTAGACATAGAAGGCACTCAATAAATGGTTTAACATCACCACTGAAGCCAATGTAAGACAACGCCTTCATAGAGCATCCTTGATACATGGTTCTATAGGCTTTTCAAGGATAACTGCAGTGATGGGGAGCTCACCATCTGACAAGTCAAACATTCCATTACTAGCTAATAAAAGTTCTTAAGTTATAAAGATATAAAGCATTTATTAAGCATTTACTACATATCAGGCACAGTGCTAAGCACTGGGGACACATATACAAGGTAGTCCCTACCCTAAAAAAGCTTATTACATCCTGAAAAAATACATAAAGTAGTATGTATCCCTTTAAGTAGGGTGAGGGAAGGAAGGGGTAGGAGAGAAGAAGGTGGCAGGTACCTGCTTCAGTGAACAGCAAGGAGACTTTGGGAAGTTAAGGCCAAAAACATATTTTCTTGTAATGTCTACCTACCATTTCTAGTACTGCCCTCTGGCATGAGAAAGAACTATTTTATTCTTGCCTTCTAGGTGTTAGTCCTTCAAATGTTTAAAGTCATATGACCTGAATGTAAGTCCTAATTCTGACATACATTAATTGTATCACTGGACAAGTCTTATTTAAACCTCTTAGAGCCTAATTTTTATCATCTAAAATATGGGATAACAATCTGTGCACAACATGAAAGCAAAAATTAAAATGCCATCCCAGAACCATACCGGTTCTGCTCTTCTGGTAGGTCTCCAGTTTTCAGTGTTATTTTATGATAAACAACGAATATGAAGAATTCAGAGAAGTATGCAAAGACTTACATGAGATGATACAAAGTGAAGTAAATAGAACAAGGAAAACAATATATTACATATATACATATACATATGTATATATACATACACATATTATATGTATCAACAGAACAGCAACAAATTAAAAGAATCCTAAACACTGAACCCTGACTTATAATGACCAATTCTGACCCCAAAGAAGAAATGAGAAAATTCATAACTGTCCCTTCTTTGCAGAGGGGGGAAGCCATGGGTGTAGAACAATGCATATACTATCAAACTTGGATAATATGTTGTTTTAATAAACTGTGTTTTTCCCCTCTTTCTTTTATTATTATTATTACAAGGAAGGGCTACATTTGGAAATGAATTTAATGTAAAAAAATTATACCAGTAAAATATCTTATATAAATATAATTAAAGGATGGCTCACAAGTTCTCCTTGAAGAAGCCACTAAAGGAGTTGGCAGAACAAGTTTTATTATGCATCCAGAGGCAACAAAAAACATCAGCATTTCATCATCTCATGAGAAATATTTAACAAAAGACCACCATGAAAATAGGAAGGAAAGGGAAAGAGTAAGCATTTATCTAACACCTACCATGTGTCAGTCACTGTGCTAAGCACTTTACAAATATTATCTCAATTGATCCTCACAACCACCCTGGGAGGTGGGTGCTATTACTATCCCCATTTTACAGACTAGGAAACTGAGGCAAACAGAGGCTAAGTGAAAATAATTGCCAATATCTATTACAGAAGAGAAGAAAGTAGAAAAAAAAAAAGTTGCTTCTCCCAATAACTGAACGAATCTCTGATTTCTTCAATGTAGGTATTCTCTCTAACACAGTAGTTCTCAACCCTTCCATTTCCACCCATCCTGTGGACTCTTGTCCAGGTCCTCCTCTAAGTCTGCCACAGGGTGCCCACCAAATACTTTTGAGGAAGGGGATTTATTTTTTCTCCCTTGACATTTCCTTGAGAAGACCTCCCAACTTAGATCAATATGTTATTTTAATGCAAAAGTAGACAGATGGAAAGATGGAAAAATTACTGGAAAATATGGGTCAGGAATAAGAAATGAGAAACACTGGTAGAAGAAGGGCTTCCCTTTCTCACAAGAGTTGCAGAGAAAACTGGCAAACAGTCTAGGTTAAGTAAAGACCAACATCATACACAACAGATTGCAATGAGTTCAAAATGGACACACTGTTTTGACTTATAAGAGGCCACACACCTTAAAAAAAAATTAGAAGAGAACAAAATCAGGTACCTTTGACTTCTTAGCCAAACATGAGAAAGGGGAGATTATAAAAGATACAGCACACAATTCTGATCACATCAAATTTCAAAGTTTTTGCACAAATAGAATCAAAGAATACAGAAGTAGAAGAGAAACCAGAGAATGGAAATGATAGAGGCTGTGCCAAAAATCCCAATGCAGTTTTAAGCTGTTTGATAGCTTAATAGCTTTAAAATGCACTAAGGTTTTTGGTACATGCTGTATTTGCAGCAAATATTGCCAATAAAATTATGATATCCAAAACATACAAGGAACTGACACAAATAGAGACCATCAAGAGACTTTTCTCAACAGATAAGTGGACAAAGTATATAAACAGTTTCTAAGAGAACTGCACAAATAATAAATGATCACATGAAAATGTTCTCCAAACTGATAATAACAAGAAAAATGCACGCTAAAACGATCCTGAAGTTTTGCCTCATGCTATGAAAACTGGCATACATGATAAAAGATGGGGACAGTAAATTCTAGAAAGGCGATGAGAAGACCAGTACTGTGACATACTCGTTGTGGAGCTGTGAACTGGTCCAACACTTCTGAATTTCAATATGAAATTTTGCAAGACAAGTGACTATAGACTAACTGTCCATCCCCTTTTACGCACTGATCTCACTATGGGGCATTATACCCTAAGGATTTCAAACCAGAAACAAAGATTCACTACTTATGAAAACATTCACAGCAATCCTCTTTGTGGTAGCACAGAACTGGAAACACGGGGCATCCATTAACTGGGGAATGGCTGAAAAACTTCTGATGGATAAATATAACAGAATCTTACTGTGAAATAAGGAATTACAAATATGAGAAACTCAAAAAGAAATATAGGAAGATTTATATGAACTAATGCAAAGAGAAATAAGCAAAATAAAGAGAACATAAATTTTAGAAGTCACCAAAAGGAAATCAAACTTTAAGTAACAGAAAAATCAACGAAGTCTCTTGAATGAATTGAATGGATGAATTTATGATGAATAAATTAATCAAAAAAGCAATTATTAAGCACTTACCTATGTACAATATACTGTACTAATCACTGGGGACACAAATACAAAAGACAGTCCCCTGCTCTCAAAGACCCAATATTCCAAAAAAAGAGAGACAATACACATAAAAAACTTCAACTACAAAGTCTCATGGTAATGCTGCCTTTTCTTATCAGTCTCTGACGTTGAACCACATGACAGCATCAAGGATTTTAGTGGCAAGAGTTTTCTTTTCTAGGTCTTTAGTAGCTGGGGCAAGAGCAGTTGCCAGGTTGTGTCTATGTTGGGGTTGCTTCCCTGGATGATGGCTGTGAGGGCTGAGCTGGAAGAATGGGGGGCTGGAGGACTTTCTGTTTATATGCCAGTGGGCTAGCAGTTGCTAGTGGTAGTGCAGGAGATTGGCCTATTCTCCACAATCATTTTTCTTCTCTGTGATGGACACTGGCCTGGGATTCAAGCAGGTTTGGTGGACATCACTATTCCTGAGCTCTTGGGTTCAGGATCCTGGGCTATCTTCATCAGCATCTGAGGGGAGATGGGGTTAGGGTGGTAGGGGTGATTTGAACTGCGTGGCACATGCTGCCTCCTGGCTCTCCCTCAGGGTGCCTTGCTACTTCAGATAATAAAATACATCTTTCCCTCCTCTCCACCCCCAACACAGCAGAGAGGTGAGAGATTCCACAGCTAGAATACTGTACACAGTGGCAGATATACTCACTATATG